GGGTAAAGTTTGCTGAAATCAGAGAGCTCAGGCTCCAGCAATTATTGGGCTCACCCCAGGTGCTTTGTTTTCATGGTTGAAAGGGAAGTGGACGGTGCATTTGCTTCAGTAAACTTGACATGAATAACAAGGTGCGTCCTTGGCTTCTCAGAGTATCTGGGAACCTGTCAGATTGAGTGTGTAAAAGCACAGTTCATACATAGTGGCCTTCCTGCCTAGGCACTCCCCCAGGTACCCTGTCCATGTTTTCTCATGTGCAGAGGAAGTAAAATGGCTGTGACCTGATAGCAGACAGTGATAACCTGAAAAACTAGAAAGGACCACAAAATCAACAGAGAGCTGTGGTCTTCAAGGTCAATTCTCTAGTAGAATAAAAGTTCTAAAAGTGTCCCCTCCCACTTTCCTCACGTTAAACTCCTTCTTACACATCCTCTGTGGGTACTACAGATGTGCTTGCCCAGACTACAGAGCTTGGAGTCAGACAGACCTAGGTTTGAATCCAAGCTATACCTCTTGCTAATTAGAAAGCCTTGGGTGAGTTCCTGCCCCTCTCTGAGCCTCTTTCTCTCCTTCTGTAGAACAGAGATAATACCGGTTCCTGCCTAGCTCATGAGATTGGTGTGACAATCAAATGACATATAGGTATTTAGCTCTGGGAGTAACATATAGTGAATATTTAATAAACTAAAACTACAATGTTATCATTCTGATTATTATCATGATTACTGTGGTAAAAATTTGAAATGAGTGCAGTGTCCTGCAGCACCTCTGCTTTCTGAGATCTTGCTTGTCCATGTCCTTGTAGTTTGTTTCCACATGGTGGTTTTTGTCCTGTAGATCATTGGCATGAGTTCAGTTTCCCAATATTTTAGAAATTTCCAGTTCCTGGGTGGGGAATGCAGTGTCTGCATGTGGCTTGTTCAACCACATGTCCTTCATCACCAGACTGAGCCAGCCTGACTGCTGCGTGCCCACTTAATCCCTGATTTCTCCACCTAGTTTTCTCTGGAGTGGGGTGAGTGGTAAAGAAGACAAGCTTCTCAAAAGGAGCAGGACCAAGGGTATCAACAACAACAAAAAAAAAAATCAAGAAATTCTATTTTGGTTGGGCACAGTGGCATACATCTGTAACTCCAGAGACCTGGGAGGCTAAGGTAGGAGGTTCACAAGTTTGAGATCAGCCTCATCAACTTAGCAAGCCCCTGAGTAATGTAGTAAGACCCTGTCTCATTAAAAAAAAAAAAAAAAAAAAGACTGGGGATGCAGATCAGTGGTAAAGTGTCCCAGGTTCAAAGCCCCGGCACCCCCCACAAATGATACTAATTTGGGAGAAGTTGGCCATGTACCAAATACAGAACCAGCATCTGGGAATATGATCATGACAGACCATATCCTGCCTTCATTGACTAAGATCTCATGAAAAGCTGGCTGTGGTGGCTCATGCCTATAATCCAGCAACTCAGGAGGCTGAGGCAGGAGGATCACAAGTTCAAAGCCAGCCTCAGCAACTTGGCGAGGCACTTAGCAACTCAATGAGAATCTAATCTGTCTCGAAATAAAATACAAAAAAGGGCTGGGGATGTGTGGTCCAGTGGTTAAGTGCCCCTGGGTTCAACCCCAGTACCAAAAAAAAAAAAAAAAAAAAAAAAAAGATCTTGTGTCAACCGAAAACCAGAATAAGATTATCTGTCTGATCTCTGTCTCATCACCTTATCTGATTCATTCACAGGACAGATTATATTATGTAATTTTCTTCCTCCCTCTTGCCCTCCTTCCCTCCCTCCCTCTCTCTCTCTTTTTTTCTTTTCAGTACTAGGATTTATTCCAGCACACTCTACCACCAAGCTACATCCCAGACATTTTTTATTTTTTATCTTGAGACAGGGTCTTGTTGAGTTACCCAGGCTGACCTCCAACTTGCCATCTTCCTGCCTCAGCCTCCTGAGTTACAGGGACTACAGGCACACACCACCACACTCAGCTATTTTTTTTTTCCTTTGACTCCCAATTAGAGTGAAAGAAACCTGCGTGCCTGGCTCATTCACTGCTGTATCCTAGGACCCAGAGCAGATCATGCACAAAAAGTACCCAGTGAACTTAGAGCAAATAAACAACAACTAAGCAATGCTTTGTGAAATTTTTGCTTCAAGCTCAAGAGTTTAAGCCTCAGATTTCTTCTTTGTTACTAGCAGTGGTCAGCCACTACCGTGTGTAATGAAAATTGACAAGAAAATCCATTCTCTCAATCCATACAGCTTTTATTTTTTAAAATGTGTGGGTTTCTTGAGATCATTCTATCCCAGATTAACCAGCTGTGGCTTAATTAAAAAGGCCCCTAGAGGATATTTGTCTTCTAGACTTGACACTTGAAGCAGGTGGAAGTTTCTGGCTGGAGCTGCTTTGGGGGTGGTGTGAGGCTGGGTTTGAGCGCTGGGTAATATATTGAGCTGGTCTGAAGGGGGCTGCCTGGCTGTGAGAAGAGATTCTTATCCCCTCTTCTTCACCAGCGAAACAGGCTCCTCTCAACTCCATAGCAGCTCAAGGCAAGAGAAGCCTGACTCCAGAAGGTCCTGGGTGATTCTAGGCAGCAGGACCACCTGCCTTTTCCCTGGCACTTGTGTATTGCTAATTGATGGCTGCATTCTCCAGCTTACTCTGCTGTGTGATCCTTGTTAACAAGGCACTCCAGGCAGATGCTCCCAGACATTCCAGGGGGTGAGTGAGACATGACCTATTTGCCTCACATGCTGTAAGCAGCATGAGTGCCCCAAAATTTAGAATCCTGAATTCAGAGTGTTATGCTATGGCTATGTGATAGCAAATTGCTTATAACTTCCCACCTTAGTTTATTTACCTGTAAAACGGGAACTGCCTCTTACCATATCTCCCTCAAAAGAATCACCATATAAGCTGCGTGTGGTGACATGCATCTACAGCCCAGCAGGAGACTCAGACAGGAGGATCACCTGAGCCCTCAAGCTCAAGGGCAGCTGGGTAACATAGCTACACCCCCATCTCCAAAAAAAAAAAAAAAATCTCACCATATAAAATAAGCCAGTGAATTGGTTTCCCTGAAACCACAGTGCTGTTTTTAATTGTACCTAGATGATGAATCAAGGGCCAGGCCTCTGTACAAACATGAAGCATCCTCAGATATGGGCAAATATACATGGGGTGGTTGTCAGCAAGTTCACAAGTCTCTTCTGAAAGAACTCAAGTGGAGTATTTGACTTCCTAAGTGTGCTTGGTGAGCCAGGTGTGGGGGYACATGCCGGAGGATCACAAGTTTGAGGCCAACTTCAGCAACTTAGCAAGACCCTATTCGAAATAAGAAGGGCTGGGGTAAAGTTTCCCTGGATTTGATTCCCAGTGTGATTGGAGGGAGGGGTGTCACTTAGTGAATTTGTTAATGTAGATGCCCAAAATGGTGGCACCCTGCACTACTGCTTCAGTGGAAAACTTATAGGATCCCAAACTTCACAGTTCTGGATAAAACTGTGTTCACCTTTGAGAGTTTAAATGTCTAGGTAGCTGGCTATATAAAGAGAGGCCTCAGTCCTTTCCCCATCTTCTCTGGTAGAGTCTTATTCATCCTTTAGGCCTATTAAATACTTCCTCCCTTATCATTGTGCTAGAGTCCTCCAGCCCACACTCTGAGCACCTACTGTGTACCACGCACTCTACTAGAGTGCATTACTGTTTTTACTCCTAAGAATAGAGTTGCCGTTATCACCCCCATCCCCCAAGCATACACATCTTGGAGTTGAGGAAGGGAATTAGAGGAGTGAAGTGACTTTCCCTAAGATGTTTGAATCTTATTCATTACAGTTCATGATATTCCATCTCTTCTACATTAATGTGAGTTCTTTAACCTTGGGAGTTGCCAACCCCTGTTCCTGGGAGCAAACACAGAGACTGGCATACAGCAGATGTTTAACAAACCTTTGCTGAATTGAAGTAGAAATGAGCAGTTCTGTTGGCTGCCTCGGGGTTCTGATAGAGAAGGAGGTAGTGGGATTCTTTGGGGGGTCAAAAACCCAGATGACTCTGGACTTTCCCATAGCTTCACATCACCAATTCTGATCTTTTGGTTGCTTTCTTGCAAGTAGCATCAATAGACTTTAACAAGTCCCACTTTAGGGACAGACACAAGAAAACAATGACCTGATCAGTTGAGCTGGGGATGCTAAAGAAAGGTGAATATATCTTTGATGGACTTTCTTATGATATATGGATGGAATTTCTTTTCTTTTTATAAAGGGGAAAATATTTTTCTGTATCTGACTGAGCCGTAAGCCCTGGCCATAAACTTATAAATTCATTTCAGATATAATTATCTTTAGTTCAATAACGACTTTTCTGGGGGCTGGGGTTGTGGCTCAGCGGTAGAGTGCTCACCTGGGTTCGAGCCTCAACACCACATAAAAATAAATAAATAAAGGTATTGAGTCCAACTACAACTAAAAAATAAATATTAAAAAAAATAACGACTTTTCTGAATCTCAGTTTTTATGACTATAAAATGGGAAGGTTAGAGAAGACATCTAAGGTTCTCTTCAGCATCGTGGTTCTGTGATTGCATTAGAACATTGGACAGGTTGAGAACAGACACTTAAATTGCCCAAGTACAAAGCAGTTCTGAAAATGGAATATCTTTAAGTGAATTAGATTTTCTTTCCAGTATAGTTGTTTCTCCAAGTTAGTCAGAATTTGACCCTGGTATCTATGAATGTTTTATGGAGACATATAGAAAAAAAAGAAAAGAAAAAAGAGACTCTAGCAGCATGAACAAGACTAATAATGAAAAATGATTATCCTAGAGCTTAATAGCTTCCCGTAATTCTTAGAACTGTTCATTTACATAGTCCCGTTAAAGTTTTGTGGCAGTGTGGTGGAAATGATAAGGTTTGCATATGATATTGGATTGCTTGCTTGCTTTCCTGAATCAAAACCATAATCCCTGTTTACATTTAAACTTTGTTTTATTGTTTGTTTTGCAGCGGAAACGGAAGCAGAGCGCCCAAGATGAAGACGCTGTTAGCCTTTGCAGCCTCGACATAAGTGTAAGTGCAGTCCTTTCTGCTTCCCATGTCCCTTCTCTGATCATTATTTGTTAATATGCTGTGTACCTTTTTGAAGTGGGCTTCCCTGGTCCAATATGGAAGTTGTAACCCAGGGTAAATAAAATTTTTTTTTTCTTTTTACTGGAGAAAGTTGTGTGGTCAACTTAAACTTCCAGGCTAAGTTCTTCAAAGCCTGTGTCTTTTCTTTCATAAAATGAAGTACGAACTTAGTGCATCTGGGTAAAATCTAGATGAATCCTGCTGTGCTGTTATAGAGGCTGGTTCAAGAAGATGAACCAGATGTTTGTTTGCCCCTTTGTGAGGAAGTTAGTGGCTTGGCCCAACTCAGGCAGCCGGATGGCCCAAAGGCTGGAAGAGAACTCCAGCAACATGATGGAGTGGATGACTTTGGAGTCAGTAGATCTTAGCCTGAATTAGGATTCTATACTTAACCATTTGTGTGGCATGTTTTCTCGTTTGGCAAATAAGCATGAAAAGAATTCACCTGGAGCTGGGTCTATAGCTCAGTGGTAGAGTGCTTGCCTAGCATGTGTGAGGCACTGGGTTCAGTACCATGTAAAAATAAATGAAATAAAGGCATTGTGCCCATGCACAACTAAAAAAAATTAATTATTTAATTTATTTTAAAAAAGACTTCATCTAACACAAGTTTTTCTTAGTTGAATAAAACAATGAAAGAATACCAAGCACCTACTAGGTACCTATCAACATTAGCCTTATCGTGTTTTTCTTTGAAAGCAAAGGTTTGCAAAAGAGGCTTGAGGGACTGTGTGGTTGAATGCTGGTAATCATAGAGGTGAAAAGCTTTCTTGAATTTTTCAGGCCTTGGAGACTTAATTTCAGCAGTTTCCTGTGCACGATCTCTTTGCTTCCCTCTAATGCAACTGGGAAGCCTCCCTGGGCCTCCAAGGCTCTCATTATCCAGGGTGAGTGGGCAGGTGGTTAGGAACTCAAGCCTTTACTGGGTTCCTCCTGTCCCCTCATCTATGTATTTTTTACACTTTATTGGGGTTTCACTATCTCGCATTGTATCAACTCCTCTGACTTTAGGCCCAATGTCTCTCTTCTACAGAGACCTTCACAAGGTATTTTTATGAGATGAGAAGACTTACAGGCTAAGAATTAAGAACTGATTTGTTGTCTTAGCTCTGCCTCTCACAGGGAAATGACTAACAATGTCATTTCCCCTCTCTGTGCCTCAATTTATCCATTTGTTAAAAAGAAAGGTTGGGGATCAGGTCTTCTAAAACCATCATGATCTGATGACATTTATTTACTGGTATAAACAATGCATTCACTAAAAAGCTATTTTTAATTATGACTGAGTTTTCTGTGATGCAAACAGACATGCTGAGTGAGCCTGAGCTGGCATATAATTAGCATTCTTGAGCACTTTATTTCACCATATGGTGTTTATCTGTTCTAGTCTTTGGACCATCAGATTGATGGAGTTGGGCCAGTTTACTAGGTTGCCATAGAAAAGGACAAAAAGATGATGTCTTCCGGGTTTTACTTTATTCATTGAATATTTTATTGCTGACAATGAAGCTATGGAAGTTTCTTCATCAGCAATCAGATTTTTTATGTGTGTGTTTGGATGTTTATAATTTTGTAGAAATTTATTTTTAGAATTTTAAAACTTTTAGGATTTAAAGACCCCTTAGCTAGATCCCTTAGCATGTAATCCTAGCAGCTTGGGAGGCTGAGGCAGGAGGATCATAAGTTCAAATTCAGCCTCAACAACTTAGTGAGGCCCTAAGCAATTTAGCAAGACCCTGTTTCAAAACATAAAAAGGGCTGAGGATGTGGCTCAGTGGTTAAGCACCACAGATTTTAATCCCTGGTACTAAAATAAAATAAAGACCCCCTAGCCATCATGCACTTCAGTCCCTTTACTTTGCAGATGAAGAAATAGAAACCCAGGTGAGTGTAATGACTGAGGCAAAACTTTACTCTAGATCATTTCTAAGGTCAAGCCTCAGCTACAGTTTCCCTCAACTACATAATTAGTATTTATTTTTCAGAAAAGCACGTCTCTGGATGGAGTGTGTGTATGTTTTATCAAAGAACCACTAAAGTCTCTGATATGAAAGGATTATTTGAAATTATGGGTCATGACTTGGTTTTTGTCCTGGTTGGCATCAATGGCTGCTTTCTTGTCAAGGTCACTTAAGTCTCAGGAAATGAATAATTTCTAGATAACGAATTCTTCTTGTATAGCTGCAGATGATATTACTTTTTTTTTCTTAACCATTTCAAATATTATGTTTTATTCCAGTAATGAGACCTTTATAGTAGAGGAGTATACCCAATTACCACCATTACGGCTATGCTTAGGGATTCATCTATGGCCAAACTCATTTCTAATTTGCTTGGCATTTTTTCTGAATCTTGGCAAACAGATTTCCAGAACCTGGGCTGAATTTTCTTAATTTATTACTGCATAGTAATATATTAGTAATTGTAGAAGTTAGAAGAACCCTGAAAGTGCTTTTAGGGACTTGAAAACTGCTGTTTGGCAGGTTCTGCTGATTCTTAGAGTCATATGGAGATGACATTTGTGTGGCAGAGTCCCATGGAAGGGGTTTATTAACGCTAATATTTCACCAACTCTATGACACACAGTAGAGATGAGTTGAGTTGAATTAACTGGTAGGTGGAGCCACCCATGAAAAGATATTTTGCCATAAATGCAATAATATCTAAATAAATATCTGAGCCAAATAAGTTAATTAGTCTAATAAATAAATGGTCTTTGTAGATTACTCAGAAGGACTTTAATCTTTAAATACTTATTTATTTATTTATTTTCAGTACTGGGGATTGAATCCAAGGTGCTTTACTGCTGAGCCATATCCTAATCCCTTGTCATTTTTTATTTTGAAACAGGGTCTCAGTAATTTGCTGAGGTTGGCCTCACACTTGCAATCCTCCTGCCTTGGCCTCCCTAGTCACTGGGATTAGAGATGTGCACCACTGTTCCCAGTTATCTTTGTATTTTTAAATGGTAATATCCACTGAAGTTGTAGCTAGTCCCTTAACCAACCAGCAGCAATACTGAAAAGTTGCCTCGAATTCCTGGGCTCAAGTGATCCTACTGCTTGAGTCTCCCAAGTAACTGGGACTATAGGCACACACAACCATGCCCAGCCAAAAAGTTGTTTTGAGTCTATGTGTAGTGGAAAGTATCTGAAAAAGAGAGAGGGGGAAAAAAGGTAGGTTTCAGTAGATGACTCATACCAGAGGATGTGAGGGTTTAGGAAAGTAATATTGGTAACTCTCAATTTTGATTCCATTTAATAAGTGGAAAGACAGTCACCAGATATATGCTTTGAATAAGAAATTGCTCAATGAGGAGTCAGGGGTATTTGGGAGATTGTGTTCAAGCTTCCATTGAGTCTCAGCCCAACAATGGACTCTTGTTAAACACTCTCTGTTAATTTTTTTTTCCAAATAGTGAGCTGCCCTAATRTGTGCTGATTTTAATGAAACATAACTGAGACATAAAAAGCTGGGAAATGTTAGTACAGATGAAATCTCCCTTTGATTAAATAGTGCTATGTAGCACCCTCTGCAGTGTCTGAGTAAGGATAACATAAACATTCCCAGTGACATCTTGTTTTATTTTAAAGCCTTGGATGATGATTCTGATAGGTGTTTAGAGGGAGTTTTTCTGCTAAATCTCTCTAACCTCCTGTGAAATTTGGACTGAAGAGACCAAATGGGAGTGGGTGAGCTAAGAAAAGAGCTTCCTCTCACAGAACAGGATCCTCAGTCATTTGGAGTAGGGGTGTCCCTGATTCTTTGGGGCATCTTGTGATAGCCCTGGGTTCCAGTAAATCTTACAAGATTCATTTCAGGGCAAGATTTCAGGACATTTGCAGACCCCAGCCAAGGCCCTACATTAGAGCTCCTCTTAGAGAGGAAATGGGCAGTGTTTTCAAGCCCAGTCAGGGTGACTACGTTGTTCTTCCCTCCACTCCCAGCATTTGGTAAAAAATGGATTTGGACTAAAGAGTCCACACTAGTTGACAAAATAATCGATTTCTATTTTTTCCCACCACTTCACCCAGTGCGTTGGCTGAGCCCCCAGCTTCCGGGCAGAATAGAACATAAACTATTCCAGAAAAAAAAAAAAAGGTAACAGTTTTGAGAACAATTTGCAGAGCAAAGAAGGCTCCCAGCAGCCGCCTACAAATCTCCTCTCACGTCAGAGGATATGAGTGGGATGGTTGTGGGGACATTGCTTCCCCCACTTTTCTAGTTTAAATTATAAGGGCAAGAGATGCCTGAGTGGAGTGCTGAGGGGTTCATGGCACCCCAGCAGAGAGCCTGGTGGAAGAGCAAGGTGTGTCCCCACTTGAGGGCACAGCTCAGCACCAAACATTTTTCTCCAAAAACAAAAAGAGCATCGAGCTGGACACAAAAATAGTTTCCAATGATAAAATGATGTAAAAGGTAAAAAGGAACATATGTTCTTTGTAGAAAATCTGGAAAATGTGAACAGCGGAGTTTGACAGCGCACCTCAGAGAAGTAGATAATTTTTTTTTTTTTTGTACCAGGGATGATTGAACCCAGTGTTGCTGTACCACTGAGCCCTTTTAAAATGTTTTCATCATGAAATACTTGACATACAAAAACAATACTAAGAGAACGTCAAACCCCATGTAGCTACTGCTGCAACTGAAGAAATATTTTCTTATTAGTGAAGCTGAAGATCTTTGCAAACCCCTGACTTGGCTAAATTTGATGTTTATTGCTGTCTTACCTGTCTATCAACTATCTACCTATGTAGTTATATAACTGCATATAACTTTTTAAAGTTGGGATAAAACAAATTAATTTATTCCTGTACTTTTCACTTACTATATTGAGAGCATGTCACCATATCCTGAAATATCCTTTAAGAACATTATTTTTAATAACTGTAGAGTACTTTGTCAAATGATTGCAACAAATTTGTTCAACTCATTCTCTC